GCCAGGCCAGTTCATTACTTCTATCTAAAATTTCCGCCTCCCCCCGCCAGAAATTGATGAAATCAGTCAATGACCATGAACTTTCCTGCAGTGTAAACTTCTTGGTCTTCCCTTTCTCGAGCTTCAAAACAACAATAAACTTACCAGCATTAAAGCCTTGGCTCTTGTTTTTCTTCTAAGATTGGGGTTCTTAGTTAAGTGACAAGAAGAATGAATCCAGATACAGGGCCCTGACTGGATTTCAAATTTTCTGTATTGGTGCAACTTTATAGAGAGCGTGGATTTTAATAATTTTGTGTGTTTAACAAGCATCGATGTTTCAAAGCAATAGGTCTTATTGTTGAGAACAGTACAAAGATTTCCAAATTCTGGTATAATGAAGAGGTTATCAATACACCTACTCTTTTCTCAGTTCAAACACCAGAAAATTGTCTTGTAAACTTCCTTGATCTCTGGCAGTCTCTCAGTGCATATGTGCCATTTTGCTATATTTCTGTTCATGTCTGGGACTCAAAAGGGCCCCAGGACCTGTTTGTCCCCAATATGCCCTGTTAGAGATAGACTCACCATCCAGCAGTCAATCAAACAGGCTTCTCCTTGGGTTTGAGACATACAGATTTACTTTATGCATTGCTTTTAGCCCATACATGTTGAATTAACTTATTTATTCTACAAATATGGAAATGGTATGAAGTAGAATCTGAAGATTGTACCAGGTCTTGACAAAATGTAAAGGAAGGTGAGAAAATTTGTCAGATTTTTTTTTTTTTTTTAATGAATAAATACAGACTAATCATAGAATACTTATGACATTCTACCTCCAAAGTTTTTGGAACATACTAACTGTCATATTGAATTCTGGAATTGGATTTAGAGTTGGCTTTTCCCTTGGAGTCAGAATTGTTTTGTTTGTTTTGATTTACTCAGCACTCTGATTAACTTCCCATCCAGTTTCTAAAGTAATACAACCTCTCTGTGGATGGAGTTGAGTGCATTTTGCAATGCAAAACGTATGAAAATTTATAAACCAGAGGGTAGAGACATTTGAAAATTATTTGAGTGAGGATTAAAGGAGAAACAAGCAATTTTTAATTTATGAATTTAGAATTCTTGCTTTCCATGTTGGAAAGCTGAGTTCAGTTCCCAACCCATGAACCTCAAATGCAGCCACCAGCTGTCTGTCAGCAGAGGCTTATGTGTTTCTGTGATGCTTAACAGCTTTCAGCAGAGCTTCCAGACTAAGTAGGATTGGGAAGAAAGGATCAGCCAATGAAAACTGTATGGATCACTGGTCTGGTCCTGTTGTGCATGGGGCCCGCAATGAGTTGGGGTTGAAGTGGGGGCCTGACTTAAAGGCAGTTAACAATACCAACAATATTTATAATGTAAATGACTGATTGAGATTCTAGGGACCATAATGTAGACATCAAATACGGTGCTTCTACGATTTTGACTAGCTCTCAGAGTTTGCTTGTTTGTTGCCAATGCCTAATAAATCTACACACACTAAGCCTCTGCTTAGATAAGGACTAAATAGAAATTCTTTCAGAAAATCTTGAAAAGAATATGAGCTTCTGCTTATGCATTTAATTTTCTACTGCTACTTTAATTTATGAAACACTCAAGAAAAGTAGTAGTTAAATTTGTATGTCAACTTGGCTGGGCCTGGTTGATTGGCTGGGCAGCTGGTGGTAGTTATTCCCATGATGAGACTGGCAATCAACTCCATGGTGGGATCTATCACAAGCACTGAGTAGCTGCCTTTGGGATGCGATCTGCTTCCTGTATATAAGGAGAAGCCTTGGGAATAGTCTCTGGCTTATGGCATGCTTGGACCCTGGATATAGCTGTGTTGTTCAGCAGCCTGACGTGCTCTGCTGACCTTGGGACTTACAATGGACTTAAATTAGTGGTCTGCTATATGATTTAGTAACATCAGGACTGTGCCATTTTACTTGTCAACCTTGGGCTTGCCAGCCTCAGCAGCCAGCAGCTGTCTGAGTGAAGAAAAGCCTCTAGCTTCAGTGGGCCAGGAGCTAGAGGCAGAGCTAAAGCCCAAGGCTGAGGGGCTTTCACCCAGGCCCTAGAGCTTAGCATTTTGAACTTGGATTTAAAGCCTCCATATTGTAAGAATAAACTGTTTATTAAGGCCATCCCATTTGTGATATATTCTTGTCAGAGCTGCATTAGGTAACCAGAACAGATTATGGCCCCAAAAGAGTGGGGTGCTTCTCTGACAGATACCTAAAATGTGGAAACAGGAGTGGAATGCATCCTTGACCCAAGACCCTGGCAGAGAGACCGTGGCATATGGCATGAGAGACAGCAGAAGCAGAGCCAAGAGACTAACATGAGAGACGGCAGGAACAGAGCACAGAGCCCGGCATTAAACAGCAACAGGCTTACCACCCCACAGAGGAGAAAGCCAGGTGTCATTGGGTAGGCGGCTTCCTGGTAGAGTGGGTTGCCTTCGGCCATTAATTGGTGAAGAGACTGGCATGACATGGAATAGCAGGTTGGCTGGCCCATGAAGCAAGAAAGCTAAGTGTCCTTTGGGCAGAAATATTTCCCTCGGAGTAGGTTGCCCTCAGGCATTAATCAGCAGAAGCAGAGAGACTAAGGAAATGGTAAGCAGAGCTGCCTCAGCCTCAAAGGGTAGGACCATGGCCTTTGGGGGTGGAACCATCATAGCCACCTAGGTTTCAAAGAGTTAGACTTCCAACAACTTGGTTCTGGAGTGTGAGGCTGCTTGTTCATGTGAGCCAGTGGGATGGAGCCATAGCTGCTGCCCAAGAGTGAAGAGGCAGGGCTGCCATGCCCAAGAGGGAGAGAAACAGGGCCCACCTGGCCAAGGGGTGAGGTCACCATTTAGAGGAACTAGGGGTCTGGAACCACCCAGTGAGAGAGACCCATACAGGTACCACCCATTGAAGATCTGTACAGGTGCCAAGTTGACGAGGGGTAGAATTGCAGTAGTTAAATTTGTATGTCAACTTGGCTGGGTCTGGTTGAGTGGCTAGGCAGCTGGTGGTAGTTATTCCCCATGATGAGACTGGCAATCAACTCTATGGTGGGCTCTACCACAAGCAGTGGAGTAGCTGCCTTTGGGATGGGCTCTGCTTCCTGTATATAAGGAGAGGCTTTGAGAATGGTCTCTGGCTTATGGCATGCTTGGATCCTGCATATAGCCATGTTGTTGTTCAGCAGCCTGACATGTTCTGCTGACCTTGGAACTTAGAATGGACTTAAATTAATGGCCTGCCGTGTGGTTTGGTAACATTGGGGCTGTGCCTTTTTACTTGTCAACCTTGGGCTTCTCAGCCTCAGCAGCCAGCAGCGGTCTGAAGAAAAGCCTCTAGCTCCAGTGGGCCGGGAGCAGAAGGCAGAGCTGGAGCCCAAGGTTGAGGGGCTTTCACCCAGACCCTAGAGCCTGGCACTTTGAACTTGGACTTAAAGCCTCCGAACTGTAAGAGAATAAACTCTTGTTTGTTCAGTCTGTACCACTTGTGGTATATTCCTGTCAGAGCGGCACCAGGTAACCTGAACAGGAACGCTCTAATTTGTCAATGTAAATAGCATGTGTTTTTGGCACCACTAAATCTCAGAGAAGAAAAAGTAACATATACAACTAAAGCAAATATAATTTTTATTTTTAGAAACTTATTGACTACATTATTTAATATCTCTTTATTTAGAAATATATCCTCTTCTGCACACATGGTTCATGGGTAGTCTATGCTATTTAGTAGCAGAGTTGATCAGTTTCTGGGCTACAACACAAGCGATGTGCTTTTCATGGAAAATCCCAAATAAGTATTTCATAGATGACTTATATACAATTCAAATCATGTTCCTCTGCGGTACAAAGGTGATATGTATTGAATCAATATTTCCTTAGATAATTTTGATATTTTAACACCTCAGCTTTTGTTTGAGAGTCTCAGCTTGACAACTGCCTAGTTCACTAAAAGTAAACTTACACATGTCTTTCGTGGAGAAATGTCTCTTGATAAGCAATAAATTGTTCTACTTAGGCTCTTTCTTTTGCCAACCTTATGTTATAGAAACTTTCTACATAAACTCTTTCTCCCTAACACCTATAGAGTGTCTTTCTTTCATTGATTTATGAATCTAAAATAGTCTGTGAACTCATTGTGACAGTATTTATTTTCATAACAATTTATGCCTTAATTGTGGTTATTATTGATTTTGATTTCTGCTACATTCATAGGATTCCACAGTGTTTGATTAAGAAATGTCACTCTATCAAGTCTTTTCCAAAGGTGGATTATCTGAGAAGAAAACTCTAACTAGGACCACGAGGATAAGCCAGCTGCTTTTCACAGGAATGCAAATAACAGAAAGATGCTATTACAGTTGTTCTAAAATAGCCATACAACTTTGCATCTGGAGAAATGATTTAGAACTAACTATGAAAACAAACTCTCCTTACAGACAGTATTGGGATATTAACTTCTATTTGTTTTGAAATTGTTTTTTTTAAAAAAAAAACTGAAAGGAGGGAAAGAGGAAAAAAAAAAATATATATATATAGATAGATAGATAGATATAGTTGGAGCTCTGGTAGCATAGTGCCTAAGGCACTTGACCACTAACCATAAGGCTGATGGTTCAAACACACCAGCCACTCCATGGAAGGAAGATGGGACAATCTACTTCCGCAGTGATACTGCCTCTGAAACCCAGGGAGGGGTCGGTATGAGTTGGGTCTGACTCAATGGCACATAACAACAACAATAACAACATAGATATAGTTAGATATACATACATACACATGCACACACGCACACACACAAATATATATATATAGAGAGAAAATCAATGTCATCTCTACATGAAATTCCCTAAATGATAAGTAAATTTTAACATAAATTAAACATATGAAACAAACATTAATATAAGAACCAAAGATAATTAAGACACATCTTCTCTTCCTTTGTTTCAAAAAATGATAGTTTTTCTTCAGGTCTGTATAGGTGTTAGAATTTTCTTTTTAGGATATTCTTTGCTTTCCACAGCATTCTTAGAGATGCTTGTCGTAATTTATTGTTGCTCAGAATTAGAATAAATGAATGGCTTGAGGGATAGATTAGAGCTATCAACTCACCCAGTATCACGGCTAATTCAGTCTCTGGCATAAAGTAGCTGGAGGTGGCAACAAGAAAGGCCAAATGGTAGGCAATGAAGAGGAGGAGGAAGGAGATAATGGCTTTCATGGCTCCAAGGTGGGCAGCCTTGCTGGGGTCTCTGCATCCTGTGGCATTTAGCTGTATCTGCCTGGTGTGTCTCCACAGGGAAAGAATCAAGAGGGAAAATGACATCAGGGACACAGAAAAGGGGAATAGGGTTAACAGGTTGAGAAAAATTTTGATGGAAGCATATTGAACTTTATTTGCTCTGCATCTCAAAGTTGAGTTTGTTTTCCACTTTGCCTTGACACAAAACCTGAAATCATCATTCAAATTCTCAGTGACAGGAAGGCTAATAAACACAGAAAAGGCCATGCAACCCAGCAGGACCCAGCAAATCACCCTGTCAATTCTCCACTTCATCCAAAGGAATAGGGGATGGAAAAAATTAGCTATCTTAAGGAAATAGAAAATGCTTAGGCAGGCAGCAAACCAGACACTTAAGTGATTGGTTAGTGTCCAGAAGAAGTCAATGATTTTCATTTGTTTGCCAGTGGTGTAGACATCTGGATAGAATACCAATATAAAGCAATCTAGTAGTAGTATGCACAATAGACCAATTCTGGATATGGCCAGATTTGTGAGGATTAAATCAACAGAGGCAATCTTCCTGTTCTTGACCCAGTCCATGCAGTTTACCAATGCAATGAATGTATTCCCTAACATCCCCATTAAAAACTCTGCAGCCACTATGATCATTAATGTGTTGTCCACTTTCTCTGGCATGTTTGAATAGAGAAATACTCAATTCGTTTCTAGTTGACTTGATGCGGTATGATATCTACACCAGCTTCTTAGATTTTGCTCTAATTTTCTTTACCTCTTTTCCTGTAGTCTGTCTGATGGAGTGATGGAGACTGGAACAATAAATGAAAACTGTAGCTATCTTCTTTAAATCCTGGTTACTCTTCACAAACAACATGCTCGCTGGTCCCTGGCTTGGGCATTGCATTTCCATTTACCTTCTCAACAGGTTGCACTTTTCCACATATGGTTTAAATTAGGCTGAGCTACTGTTTGTTAAGATGCAAATAGGACTGATTTCCTTTCACGGTTCTATATTGTCTTTCTGAGACAAAAGTTTAATAAATTTTGGATTAATTTATCTGAGATGCATACAGATAGCCTTAATAGTATTGCCAAATTTAGCAAATAAAAACAGGTCACCCAATAAAATTTGAATTGCAGATAAACAATGAATAATGCTTTATGGCTAGAATTACATGGGATTAATACCTCCAGGAAGTACTGAAAATGCTGAAACTCAAATTAACTGAAAAACAACCAAACCACAGCCATTCAGTCAATTCTGACTCATAGAGACCTTATATGACAGAGTAGAACTGTCCCATAGCATTTCCAAGGCAAACTGCCTCATCTTTCTCCTGTGGGGCAGCTGGTGGATTCAAACTACTGATCTTTTGATTAGCAGCAGCCCAATGCTTTAACCACTATACAACCAGAGCTCTTTCCAATTAATGGAGTATCCAGTATTTTATCTGGCAAATCTCCTCAAGGATATCTGTTAGCAATTAGAAAATGGGCAAAATGTAAAATTCATTGAGGAATCTTAATTTTGTTGATAAAAGTAATATAATTAGTAAAGAATCTGAAGTTTGGGTCTACATTCAGGAATTTAAAAGGTTAACACTAACTATAGGTTAATAATTTGTTTCCAAAAGGAGTATTTTAGCTCATTTATCTTGCTTGTTCAGATAAGCAACTGTTTGGCTCAAGGTTTCCCAAAAGAATAAATTTTCTTATCAATCATATGACATTTAATGTCTACTTAATTCGTAATGTTATGCTTAAGAAAGGAGCTCTGGTAGCACAGTGCCTAAGGCACTTGACTGCTAACCAGAAGGCTGGTGGTTCAAACCCAACAGCCACTCCTCAGAAGGAAGGTTGGGCAATCTACTTCTAAAGTGATACTGCCTCAGAAACCCAAGAAGGGGTCGCTATGAGTCAGGTCGAAGGCACATAATAACAACAACAACACAACATGCTTAAGAAGGCGAAGGAGCCGTAACAATAACAACAACAAAGAGTATTGATTACCTTTAGATTTTTCCTTTCACTTAAGATTTTCTCAAGGGCAGTTGTATGTATGAGAGAGGAGAGAGAAATCCTGTTTTTTGGTACTCTCTGTCTTCTACGTATCAAATTATATCTCAGTATCTTGGCCCATAAATTTTCTATCTTGTTAGGAGACTGATGATTAGATTTATCTCATCTCTGTAGACTAACTTTTTTTTTTTTTTTTA